TCATAAAATGTCATGGGGAAAAAGTATGGAAAATTGGAAAGTATGTAAAGGGAAGGAAAGAGGGACTACGAGTGCTTCTCTAATTGGGCATTACCAGCCATGCTGCCTGGGAAAGAGGGTGAGTGTATATCAAGCACCTGAAAAGCTCCACATTTGGATGGCTAAAATAATGGATCAAGGATTAAGAGATGGATACCTTTGGAAGTAAAGATTCAGGGATGCCATTCAATGCAGATTTACCTCTGTGCTAAATTTCATCTGGAAGAAAACTTCCTGTTCATATTCCTGTTCTCTTCTTGTGTAGAATATTCAAAGCTATAAAGACTACTACAAGAGGGAAATACAGTGCAATACTATCAGCAAAGAATAGTCTATCTTATTATGTTGCCATAAGTTGGTAAAGTAGGTAGATAGGTATTATAGGTAGCTATTATAGGTAACCAGGTACCAGAAATGTGATAGTTAGGCATCATTGAGTTGGGCCAGACTGCTGGGGACTGTGTAAACAAATGCCTTCCATCATGATTTGTCTCCAGTGCCGATGTGCAGCTTTTCGGGGATATTTCAGTGAAATCCACTTTGTTCGTCGTCTTCCCCTCCTTCTACTTCTCCCATTCCTGCCAAACATAGTCATTTTAACAGTAGCTACAATAAAGAATGACTGGATCCTGGAGAGATGGGGGAAAACAAGCTGCTTGGTGACTTTATTGAAAGGCAACCTGCTGAATGCTGAGAAGAGCATTAAAAGAGGAAAGGATATCAGATGTCTGATTTGATAAAACACTCAATAATCTCCTTGTGCGATCAGGAACAATCAAAGTATGTTGGCAGCCACAGCATATGTTCTGTGACATAACAGAGCCTCATCCAGATGAACTGTAAAAGGCAAAAAGTGTTCATGGGGATAAAAAACAGGATCTATGGGAGATTGAGTTAGGAACTTAATCATCTGTGGAAAGAAGGAAAAAAAAGATTTAAATATCGACAGTATGGCCTGGTCCTTCTAAAGCTTCCAAGGGAAAATGCATACAAAATATCCAATTAAGCTGATATCATTTGCTTTCCTTCTCACAACAGCATGAACAAGGAAAGCAGGCAAGCCGCCTTGCAGCTTAATAAACTTCACATACGTGAGTGTATGCACACACACACACACACACACACACAGAGAGAGAGAGAGAGAAAGAGAGAGAGACAGAGAGAGACAGAGAGACAGAGACAAGCAAAGAGTAAGGGGCAGAAGGAAAGCACCAAGGTCGATAGCATGGAGCCTCTGGGGAACAACATGACATAAGTCCTTTAAAATATTAATTCCCATTTTCATTGGAAGATGAGTCAGCAGCAGTGATAAAACCCAAGAGAAGTCATAAAAAGCCAGGGCAATTGATAAAGTGGAGAGTCGACATAATAAAATTCCGCCACGTTGAAGGTCAGGTCATGCCTGTCTCAGGCAGGTCTATAAGCCAACAGATGGATGAGTTGCCTGCTCCACAGGCCTCCGGGCCAGGGAAATGACACATCTGAGAAGGTTGTGCATCTCAACAAAACCGTGCTGATGGGAATTTTCACCCTCCAAGATGCCACCAGTATTTGCAGGCTTGCCCCACAAATATGGCCATGCTACTCAATTTTCTGAATTAAACGCTTCCAGTGATAGTTGTGTTCATCAATGCAGATCGATCATGGAAACCCATCTGAATCAATTGCCCTTCTTCCACAATAGAATAAAGATTGCATCTGTCCGGCTTGACACATACATGTAAATCACCTGGATCTATGCGTGATCATTCCTTAAAGAATGTATAATCTGGTTTCGTTGAAAAATACTGAGTATGAAACCATAGGTGGATGCAAGGATGTGAAATACCTAAATATAGCATGGGATCTGTAAAACAGCAGCCCACAACCTTTTGGGCACCAGGAACTGTGGAGAGAGGTCCTTCCACGGACCGGAGGGGGCGTGGTTTCACATGCTGCCTGCATCCTGCAGATGGGGCTTTGCTTGTTTGTGTGCTCCGATTGCTGGCATGCCATGGACTGGTGTCAGTCCGCAGATCGGGGTTGGGGACCCATGCTGTAAAGTATCATTCACATATACAACCATGGCTCTGATCCCAGGTCTGGAGTCGATGTTTATTGTTTGATTGATGGCCTAGTTTTCTCCTGATGATTTTGCTGTCTTTTACATGGTTTTAGTCTGGGTTTCTATTTGATTTAATGTTTTTAGCTGTTTTTATGTTTTCTCTAGTTTTATACATTGCCCGGAGTCCACTGGTGTTGGGTGGCCAGTAAATCTAAATAAATAAACAAACAAACCATAACCTGAGCTTGTGACTATTGAGCTATCTAAACATGAGTCAACCGAGGATGCCGCCATTAGAGATTGGCCTGGCACTCCTGATGTTCTGTCTTCTTGGTGATTGCTTGTACTGATCTGGAGTCTCTGTGTGTAATTGTGTTTGTTACAGGATCTTGCATGCAGCACTATTATGTTGAACAGAAGGAAATTGTAGTATATTAAATCAAGCCTTGGATTCCTCTGACCCAATATTGTTAACTCTAACCAGAGATTCAGGTGGGAGTTTTCTAGGCTTAACCGGAGGTGTCAAGATTGAATCTAACATTTCCTATGTGTCAAACCTGTGCTCCTTCACCGCACTGACTCAGGAGCCCTGGTGGCGCAGCGGTTAGAATGCATATTGCAGACTAACTCTGCCTTCCACTGCCAGCAGTTCGATTCCCACGGCTCAAGGTTGACTCAGCCTTCCATCCTTCTGAAGTCAATAAAATGAGGACCCAGATTGTTGGGGTGGGGCAATAGACTGGCTCTGTAAACCTCTTAGAGAGGGATGTAAAGCACAATGAAGCAGCATATAAGTCGATGTGATATTGCTATTAAAGCCTTGATAAAGAGGGAAGAATGGATTTGAAGACAAAGCCATGTACCCTGTACCTAATTTAATTCATTCTATGCAAACACACAGATGCATACATAAAAGCGTATGTATATATGTATTCATGAATTAATTAATTAATATAGGACTGAATACTATACAAGTTGCTGCTAAATAGTATCCATTAAGATGAAAAGAGAATTATCAGAGGGCGTAGCAGTAGGGGGAATTGTTGAATGGGGGACTATGACAGCCCACAGTCTGGACTGAATACTATACAAGTTGCTGCTAAAGAGTATCAGTTCAAATAGGTAGTTTTTTAAAAATGTCAAATTTAAACTGCCATGAGCACGATGTGTAGAATTTAAAATTGCAATGTGGTTGTGCCTTTAGAAATCCTCAAGTTATCAAATTGGAAACCAAAATATATAATGGGTTGCTTTTCCTTTGTGTGTGTTTGTGTGTTTAGTTTTAGCATGTATGATTTGTTCACATGGACAATATTATGGACAGATGGTCCTGCAAGCATTTTAGATTTTCTCATTTTAATGCATTTCAACATTTCCCTTTTAACCAGAATAGGACTGTTCCATTATCTACATTTCTGATGACTTCTCCAGCAAATCAACCTTGACATCTCCCATCCATGTCTTCTCAGCCACAAATTTCTGCAACAATTGACCTCTGATTATACATACAAGCTGTATTAAAATATTGACCCTAAAACACTTGGGTTGATTTCTGTATACCAAGCTTCTTTTTAGGGGATCAAACTCTACCTTCTAAGATTTGTAACACTACCTTTAGTAAATTCTATAGAATAGGTGTAAATATGATTATAAGTGCATTATATTTATAATTCTAAGTTTTTCTATGGAGTTCCACATGTTTGTTGTATTCATTTTTCATATGCTTTTGAGATTCTGCTGACAGCTAAACTCCCACCCACTTCAGCTACTGAATTGCATAGCACAGATCTTACTATTGTTCTAATCTGAAATATAAGAAATGCATTGTTAATATTTTAAAATATTTCCTCCCTATATAAAAAGCTTCTTGCACTTGATAAACTAGCATAGGAAGTAGGGTTTAGCACAGTACTCTTACTGATATCCTAGCTTACTGTATGAAGGGGCATTTTATTGGGGGGAGAACTAAAGAATATGAACTCAGCAGAACAGTCCAAATTTCGTGATTTCACTGCATATAGTGCGAAATGTAAACTTTGGTCACCTCTAATGTGCTGCTGTCTTTGTCTCTTATTTATTGAATTAACACACTAAGAAATAATTCAAATATATGCTTCTCCTATTCATCATAGATTCTTCTATTCATTGTGGATTTAGTGATACAGTAAGAAAATATATGTATACCGTTATAGCCAAGATTTTTTTTTCTTTTTGGATGTCTGGTTATCTCCTATCATACAGTACCGATTCCACTCCACTTTCTATTTTTTTATCCAAGCATACAACCAGCAACTCTTTCAGTGCTCAGTACACACCTGTCGCACTTGATCATAGAGGTTACGTACGTATCATGTAGGTGAGTAAATGGAATTAGATAACAATGAGCTTGAAGAGGGAAATAATTTAATGTCAAGTCCAGAGGGGAAATTTTACTACTGGTTCTGTGGGCATTGGCTTGGTGGGCATGGCGTGGCTTGGTGGGCATGGCAGGGGAAGGATACTGTAAAATCCCCATTCTCTCCCCATCCCACTAACCTGCTTTCCAGCTTTGTTCTCCTGTGCAGGGCAACAAAAGAAGACCCAGCCAATCAGCTGGGACTCGGGAGGCAGAGAATAGGTGAGCGTGGGACCAGTCAGAGGTGGGATTTGCCGGTTCTCCGAACTACTCAAAATTTCCACTACCAGTTCTCCAGAACTGGTCAGAACCTGCTGAATGCCACCTCTAGTCAAGCCTCAGTCTCTCACACAGAGAGAAAAATAAAATGTATAGGATGAGCCCTTTAAACCGCAGCAGGAAGTTGTCCTAAAGCCAAGAACAGGGAGTGGATCAGATATAGGACTTTGAACTTGAGACCCTGCCATGTTATGCCAGTTTCTGAGGTGTTTGTTTCTTTCCCCCTCTTGCTCACTCAGAAAGATGTTTGTGTTCCTGGCTTTCCTGGGTACCTTGCTTTCCTTGACAGCCTGTGCCCCACTACAAGGGACACCACAAGAGACAAGAAGCCGGAACAAGCTTCTACTTGTTTCTTTTGATGGCTTTCGGTGGAATTATGATCAGGATGTGGACACCCCCAATCTAGAAGCCATGGCCAGAGATGGGGTGAAGGCACGCTACCTCACTCCCCCCTTTGTCACCCAGACAAGCCCCAGCCACTACACTTTGCTCACAGGTGAGTGTTGCACTCTGGAAGCGGGGGGGCATGGGATCGAAAGGTGGAGGGGAAGCAGTAGGGAAATCATGGGAATCTCAAATAGATGTGTCACTGGGGAGGAATAGCACTGTTTGTTTATGGTACCTTTTTTTAGCTTATGGTGTTAAAAGTGGGAATGGGAGCATTTGTCATTCTCATCCTTAACCCCAAGCCCCCCAAACAAGTAAAAACTGCTATAATATCTATAATATAAAAGCTATAATATCCAGCACAGGTCTTACTTAATTCTCAGTGACCTAGCTAGATTTGAATCAAGATGCAATGAGCATGCTGCTCATGTTTCATCAGTAAGAAAATAGAAGCATGTTTCATCATGTGAATCTTCGTCATGTTTGTATTGAAACATTGGCAATTTAACTCTTGGGGGGTTATTTTGATAACAGTTTGATCTCTCAGCACAGCTCCATCCCCCAAACTCACCCACGTTCCTGAAGATCACAGCTAGTTGACACAAATTTTATTGTCAGCTCCGGCCATTCATAAAAGCACTGGGGAAAAAATTGAATTATCTAGACTTTCAAATAGTGATAATAATGTAGTAGCATTGGAAAATACAAGTTATTAGTTCTTGCTATAGGAATTGTTTTGCCCATTATTTTCACACTGAGGGAATGTGCCATCATACTCATAATAAAAATACAATGACTCTGCTGCAAATTAATACTTTAAGACACTGCACAAATTGCTCTTAAGCTCAGTGGCACTTAGTGTAGCACTTCATTTGTTCCCTTTAGAGTGCTTCCAAACTTTAACCTTTCTAGATCTACTTATGGGTCAGCTTTTGAGGTGCTACACTTTTTGTAGGAAATATCATATAATTTTTTAACGTTCTTTTATTAAACAATTGTCTGTAGAGATTGTCAGTCATCGAAGTCATGGTTGTCCCAAAGATTCTTTTTCAGGAGGCAACAGGACTTTTGAAGACATGATCCAAGAAGCTTCCACTATCCTGTCAGAGCTGAAGAAGCTTCTTGGATGAGAAACGAAGTGTCTTCAAAAGAAAAAAATAAGAAAGCCCAGTTGCCTCCTGAAAAAGCACCTTTGGGATTCTGGCAATTGTAGCTGATGGGCAAAACGGAACCTTCATCTAAATGTTTCCCACTGAAACAAAGGCATGATTAGAATCCTTAAAGCAATGATGGTGCGCAACTAGCTGAGCTTGGTTAACCAGAAATAAGCAGAGTTGAAACAAATTGAACCAGAGTTAAGGCCGTCAGAAGATCTTGGAGTGGCAACCTACACTGGAAAGTCATAGATTTTCTTAGAAGAAGGCAATGGCACACCATTTCTGAATAACTGCCAAGGAAAGTACATGAGCAGGTATTATACAGAAGGAAGGAATGCAGTATATATGCCATCTTAAGCTTATAGAGGAAAGGCAGTATATTAAACAAATCAATAAATCAAGTCACTTGAAATCCAACTTGACTTAAGGGAGTCTTTACTTTTTATAATTAAAAGAGACTATTTTAGATCAGTGCCTGTATTTGGAGAAAGCTGAAGCCTCAATGGCATTATAACTAAGACACAATTTCCCTGGCTCACTTGCCGTATTATCTAGCAAAGGCTTCATGGTCCATCACCTGATTTTTTTTATCTTACTAAAGAATTGCAGGAGTGGAATTCTTAGGAATCAATAGACAAAAACTGGGAAGGTTAGGTGAGTGGATGGAAGAAGAGGAAACCACATGCTGCATGTTTCCAGAAGACCAGAAAGGAGGCTGGAGGCATTTTTCTGGATTTGTAAAAGACTATTTGACTATCCAAGACATTTCTGTGTGGGAGTCCAAGGGTGACAACATCTCTACAGATTGTCTGACATCTATCTCTAAAGAGAGGTCATTGCCATAGCTGAACAGATATAGGAGAGAGAGGTGCCAGGCACTAACAGAAGTCAAAGAAAAATTTCAGTAGAAGAAACAGAGAAAGAGAGAGCAAGGGCTGAAATGAAGAGGGCCGGTAGTTCCACTAGGTCTATATTATCAGATACAGGTCTAGGACCCCACTATGTAAAAGACCACTTTTTTCTTTTTCTTTCTTTCTTTCTTTCTTTCTTTCTTTCTTTCTTTCTTTCTTTCTTTCTTTCTTTCTTTCCTTCCTTCCTTCTTTCTTTCCTTTTCTTTCTTTCTTTCTTTCTTTCTTTCTTTCTTTCTTTCCTTCCTTCTTTCTTTCTTTCTTTTTTGTCTGTCTTTTTGTTTTGTCTTTTTGCCCTGCTCTTTCTTAATTCCCTCCAAAACCCTTTCAGGGGTGAAAAGAGGGAGCAATAGAACAAAATGTTTCAAAAGGGAAAATGGCAAAGGAGATTCCCAGAAATGTGGAGGGGGTCCATAAGGCATCTTGCCCAAAACTCCCTCCATCCTGGCAGTGCCAAAGCGCTCATTTCATGGGGATAATGGGGCATTAGAAGAATAGCCTGAACTGTGGTGACTAATAGGGCAGGTCAAATTTTTCAACTTTCAGTTTCCAAACATTAGGGGTGCTCAAACTTTGTGACATGCCCTGGGGGTAGTAAAGATATTTTGGTGACTTTAATATAATTTAGATGTGCTTGGTAAATAACTATATAAATATCATACCTTTTTAACATTTTGTCTGCTAACCTGATCAAGGAAGTTCTATTTAGGTCCTTCGTCCAGTCAGAAAAGCAAGGAGCCACCACTGAATTATCCTTGCAACAAACTAGGAAAATGCTGCAGTTTCTTAGACAGTGGTGGTTCCATGGATGAGGTCTCTGGTAACTGTGGCCTAATGCTGTTCTCAGGAACAGGAAAGGAATTGGGCTGGTGGCCTTTCTGTGATAGCCTTACCCAGTGGTGGGATTCAGCCAGTTTGCACCACTTCAGGAGAACTGGTTGTTAAGTTTCTGAGCAGTTTGGTTGGAAGAAATAATTAGGACAGATAACCGGTTGTTAAATTATTTGAATCCTACCATTGGCCTTACCCATCAAGGCCAAGTATCCAGACGTTCATGCAACATACAGATTAAACTAATGTCAAGCTTCTCTCTCTTCTGGTAGGAAAGTATATTGAAAACCATGGAGTGATTCACAACATGTGGTTCAACACTAGCACTGGACAAAAACTGCCTTATTACCATACCCAGCGGAGGTCTGATTGGTGGGACAATGGAAGCCTCCCCATCTGGATCACAGCACAGAGACAGGTAAGTTCAAAATCATAGCAAGAAGTCTTCTCATTCAATGTGTCACTCAAAAAAGTGCATCCCTGTTCTTAGGGACTTCATTTTGCAATCAGCCTTAAGCATCGTATCTAAAACACCCAAAAGAAGAATAAAATCAGATACACCATTGTAAATATTGGGGAAAGGCCTCCTCCCCATTGATAGATTGGGTTCTAATTGTCAGTTGAAGTTAATTAATTTAGAATTGGTTCTTCAAAACAGATCCTGAGAAAATGGGCAATGAAAATAAATTTACTTTCTGAGATATGTCTGTGGAGGTTTGCAAAAAAATCTATTAATTTGTGGGGGAAAAAAAACCCCAAAAAAGGAAAAAAGGAAAATGACACTAAAATAAAATTGAAAGACTAAAAGCAATTGTGTGGGAGAGGTGGTGTGTCTGTGTGTGTCTGTGTATATTGGTACTGGAGGGCAACTTTAGGAAGGGCCGTAGTCGTGTTTATTATTTCTCTTTTGATTAATTAGTAATTCTCAGATTTTCTTCGAATTCAAATGTATGTATCAGTGGTGGGATTCAAGTTTTTTTACTACCAGTTCTGTGGGCGTGGCAGGGGAAGGATACTGTAAAATCTCCAGTCGGAGGTGATATTTGCTGGTTCTCTGAACTACTCAAAATTTCCGCTATCAGTTCTCCAGAACTGGTCAGAACCTGCTGAATACCACCTCTGGTATGTATGTATGTGTGTGTGTCTGTGTGTGTGTGTATTGTGTGTATACACACACACACACACATATTGTGTACAGTTAGTCCTCAACTTATGACCAGTTGCTTAATAATTATTAGTTACAATAGACTCAAAAAAAGTTACTTATGACCCTTCTGAGGAGTAACAAGTGCTGCACATTTCAGGTGCTTGAAAACAACTCGCACTTACAACCAATTGCAGGGTCATGTGATCATATTTTGCAACATTTGTCATTGCTTTTTGGTAAACAAAAACCCCTTGGATAAGCTAGGTTCATACATATGACATATGATTCACTTAACAACCACCATCACTCACTTAACAACCTTTGTAAAAACAGTTGTAAAATCGAGTCTGCCGCACGATAATGCGACTTCATATCTGTAACAATTTACCGTATCACTAAAATTCCAGACTCAGTTGTGGTTGTAAGCATTGGTAGGATTCAAAAAAATTTTATTGCCGGTTCTGTGGGCATGGCTTGGTGGGCGTGGCAGGGGAAGGATACTCTAAAATCTCCATTCCCTCCCCACTCCACTAACCTGCTTTCCAGCTCTGTTCTCCTGTCCAGGGCAACAAAAGAAGACCCAGCCAATCAGCTGGGACTCAGGAGGCAGAGAATAGATGGGGCAGAGCCAGTGAGAGGTGGTATTAGCCGGTTCTCCAGACTACTCAAAACTTCCACTACCAGTTCTCCAGAACTGGTCAGAACCTGCTGAATACCACCTCTGATTGTAAGTCAAGGCCTGCATTCATCTCAATATGTAGCAACTTATATCTGTCCACTAAAAAAAGCATACACACAAATGTTTATCCAAAGAAAGACTGGAAGCCTTCTTTAGATAAACATCTTTTAAACAATTTGGGATTGTATAGAATCAGTTCTCTTTTCAATGTCACTGAATTTGGGTTTTTTAGCATCCTGCAATGTTTGTTTCAAAAGCTAGGTATATGTGGTCCTTAAAAGAAAAAGTCTGCCATGACAAACACTGCTCCCTTCAGTTCTTTTGAGGTGTAAGCACATTCTGGCAATACGTTCAAGCTAAGGCTCCAGCCAGCATGTGAACCTTGGGCACATCAACATGTAGCCCTGTGGAATGTCTTGCCAACTCACAAGTTTATGATCTTCTCATTCCAGGGTTTGAAAGCTGCCTCCTTGTTTTTCCCAGGAGGGAATGCCACCTACCAAGGAGAAGAAGTGAACGTTAAGAAGGTGGAGAAACTCCTCCACAAGTATGACAATGAAACAGAGTGGAGACAGAATGTGGACACAGTCATGAAGTGGTTCCATGAAGATGACCTTGACTTTGTGAGCCTGTACTTTGGGGAACCCGACTCTACTGGACACAAATATGGCCCAGAATCTCAGCAGAGGAAAGATATGATCCGCCAGGTTGATCGGACAGTGGGCTATTTGAGACAGCGCATCGCAGAGCATGGCCTGAACTCAGTACTTAACTTAGTCATCACCTCTGACCATGGCATGGAAACGGTCATCAAAAAGGATGAAATTCACCTCCTCAAAGTAGCAAACTTCTCGTTTCAGGACATTCAGTTTGAGCTGGTTGATTATGGGCCACAGGGCCTCCTGCTGCCCAAACCTGGGAAATTAGAACAAGTTTATGAAGCCTTGAAAAATGCCCACCCCAAGCTCCATGTTTATAAGAAGGAGGAATTCCCCAAAAGGTTCCATTATGCCAACCATATTCGCGTCACACCTCTTGTGTTGTATAGTGACCCTGGCTACGTGATCCATGGGGTACAGTATTCTCTCTACCTTGTTAAGGCCAGGCTCTTTAACTCCCTTTACTTGTGAGGCTTTCCATTTCATGTTTGGTAAACATAAAAGAAGCTTCTTAAGAAGGACACAGGAGAAGAGTCACCTAAAATATCAGTCCAGGGCATTTTGCTTTGAATTATCCCATGGGGGTTCCTTTTATTCTGCAGCATTTTTCGCACAGCAATCTCTGCCATCTTGGATGGCGCTAGTCAAAGCATGCCGCTTCGCTGTGTGATATAACACAGACAACCCTGTGCATATTTGTCACACTCTATGACAGCCTTCCCAAAACATCTATCATTCAAATGTTTTGGAATGAGCCAGAATTCCCAATGGCCAAGGCTACTTAGGAATTCTGTGCATTACACCATAATGCCAATAGATTTGTAAAGCATCCATTGGGAAATGCAACATTTTATGCAGGAAGAGATTTTGGGAAACGTTTTGCCTCTATATTCCTAGTTGCAACTATTTTTCTCTTTATTTGAAAAAAGCATCCTAACTAACCCATATCGAATATATTCCTGAAGAAACATACATAGGATTGTCTTGCTAATCATTACTGCAGCGCCCAAGGGGATCCTGCTAAATCCAGTCATCACAAATTTGGGGATCCTCAGAAATCATATTTTCCTTCTGAGCGCTGCTATTTTGAAATGATGAATTCCATCAGTGTGGCCAAGCAGGCTAGTTGACTGGCTTTCTCTCTCAAAAATAACTTGACCAGCAGAAATTTTCTACCAAAGGTGTTCCTGCCAGAGGGAGCAGATCAAATGTCCCCCAGTGAGATATTCAGGAGATGGAACAAAACCAGCTCTGGACCTACTAACTCCAGAACTATTCCATTTTTCAATCAGAACCCATCAATCAAGCCAAAGTAAAGCTGGCATAGCTAATTTCAATTCACTTGCTCATTTGTTTTCCAATAAGTTCAAAAGCCCAGCAAAACTTATCTCCAGTTCTGCCCTGGCTAGCACAAGCAAAGTAACTTAGTTGCCATCTTTGTCTCTCTCTTATCTGCCATGCATATGGGTTGTGCAACTAAAGAAAATGCAACAGTTCCTAGTTTGCACGAATGAACTATTTAACTGCAAATAGATCCCCTTTTTTATTATCATTACAATCACTCTATGTGCAGGGTTGTTCAAGAAATAAGAATGTTAAAATAGGCAACGCCTGCTTAAATGGATTGCACACAAAGATTAGCGATGCTCTTTTTATTTATTAATTTGCTATTTCTGTATTTTTATCATCCAATTGTTGTTGGGAAAATTTTATTAATTACAGATCAAAGTTGAGTGGCAGATAATCACTGGGGTGGCGGGGAGAGGAAATCCTGTTATTTCAGCAAAAAGGCAAATGGCACCTGATGAATTGTAGCCTTCCCTTCTTTTTCAGAGAGTGAAAGTCCAGTTCAATAAAGGGGAACACGGCTTTGACAACGAAGCTATGAATATGAAGACCATCTTCCGAGCTGTGGGACCAGCTTTCAAGCAAGGCCTGGAGGTGGAGCCATTTGAAAGCGTGAATATTTATGCCCTCCTTTGCAAACTCCTGAACATCACACCTGAACCACACGATGGATCCTTGGAAGTCACCCGACATATGCTTGTCAAAGACTCAGGTCTGGGTTTTTGTTTTTTTCTGGTTAGCTAACGTTGCAGTCCACCAATTATTCAATGAATGGATTCAGTCCAAAAAAAGATTAATTACATATCCGTCAGAGAGACAGGGTTATAAATTGTCAATGATGTACCTTAATAGTCCCTTATGGAGGTTGAGGATCTCTAAAGAGTTTTCTCTTTTCTGATCAGGGATAAACCCTTTTATTTAAGTAGCAGCCGTCTCCACAATCTTTATAAATTGTACACTGATGATATCAAACACCAAAGGATTTGTTTCTTTAACTTATCCAACAAGAAGTTCTAAGGTAAAAAAAAGAGTAGCTTTCAAATATTTCTCTCCCCGATTTCATTGGCTTGCCTACCTATACATTTATTCTAGCATCAGCAAAGCCAAAAATGGGAAGGAAGGGAAATAGAGTAAATCTTTGCCAATTTCACAAAGTAGCACTAGGAGAAGCCAGTGGAATGTCTCTGATTATTCAGTATTTTATTGTTATGATGGAACCATTAATTATCCTCTAATCCACTTAGAGTACTGATTGGAATCTGATGCATGATAGAAAGAAGTGTTTCCTTGCAATTGCTAGGCTATGTGAAAACTGTTTATAAAGGGCATATAAAGGAAGGAATACTAATATAGTATACAAAACATATATGAATTTCTATGAAAATCAATTGGATCGGATTCACATGTTCACATTCTCCCCCCATCTTGTCACTACTTTGTGTATGTCCTACGATGAAGGACAAGAGAGTGATAGGTTTTTCTATCCAGTGCATAAATATATGCAGTCCACTCTCAATTTCTAAATTCGGGAAGGAAAGTCCTATTTACAATCAAACTTAATTCTGGCATAATTTCAGATGCTGGCTATGTTTTTAAATCATACTTTAAACAAGCCAGAGTTCCAATTTCACCTGAAGGAGTACGAAGGAGCATGAAACTGGATGCCTTATAACTATAGGGAGAAACCATAATTCCAATTATGGGCTTTTGTTTTCCAAATTAGTATCATGCCAATATATGCTGAGCTAAGTTTGGAGTTTACAACTAATGAGCTCCTCTGCTGGCTGCCAACAAAGTGCACCTTTGATCTGAAACCAATTTCTCATATTTTATTCAAGCCATCACTTACCCTTTCGCTTGTAGGTGATCTCTTACACAAATACCAGTAAAAATTTGACAGCTTCCTGCTTTTTGTTATATCTCATGGGCAACCCCCAAATCTACCTCCCCACTTTCCTGGAGCAGATCAATCCTTCCCTGTGGACCATCAGATTCATCACAATTGCTCTCCATTGAGAGACGTGGGGCCAGGAAGATAGAAAAACAGCTTTCACAACCTGTCAGAAAAGGAAAAAATATATATATAGGGGTGGTGGGGAAGAGAGAGCAAAAGTATTATATGCTCCAAAAGTAGCAGGGAGCCCCCTGCTGGCCAAAAATTGACACCCCAGCCTAGGTGTTGTCCAATTAGAATATGAAGCTTGTCAGAGTGAAGACAGAGCTGCATAATTGGATCTGGAAAGGAAGCACATATTTGAGGGTTTCCCTGGCAATACCAATCAATTAATTACTGTTCAATGTGTAGCTAATGTTGGAAAAAAGGAGTAACAACCTTGGACAGAAACATCTTTTATTTCCTTGTGTATAAAGCCATCAATAATAAATCCATTTAGTGCATGGATTCAGATTTACAGAACCAGTATGGAAATACTAAGTGTAACCTGGTCTTTAACTGTATCACATGCCTGTCAAACATGTCAGTCTCAGATGTAGCTTTTTCCAGGGGTACCAGAGCTGGTTTAGAGCTAGCTAAATTTGTACCCATTAGTATGGAGGAAGTAGATAGGATATTAGAGCTGCAAGCTCAACCACCTCAGTGTTAGATCCATGTCCCTATTAAGCTTCCTGGCAGATGACATGTGGTTGACTCCAGGGGGTGGTGAATGTGCCTTTGATGGAAGAGATCACCACTTAAAGACATAGCGTGGCGTTCTCTCCTCAATAATCCATTGCTTGACTCAACCATTTTGGGTCATCTTTGTCCTACTCCATCGTTCCCCATTATTTTAGGTTTTTATTTCAATAGCTATGGAGGGCCTTGGAGAAAGCAGGTGCTTTGTGCCCCTTTCATTTGGCTTTCAGGCCTGGATATGGGACTAAAATAGTAATGATCATGCTTGTGGATTACCTTTGGAGAGAGTGAAATTGGGGTAATGCTTTCATCCTTACCCTCTTGGATATCTCAACTGCTTTCAGTATCATTGATCATGGTAACTTCCTGGCACTGCTCTAGGGATTAAGAGCTCCTTCTTCCTCTGAAATTGGTATGGGGGGGAGAGATATTAGTCCCATATACCCTTTTCTGTGGGGTGACTCAGAGCTTGCCATTTTCCCCATCCTTATTTAACATCTACATAAAGCCATTGGGCAAGTTCATTTGATATTATGTACTGAGCATGTACAATATGCTGGTGATACTCAGTTGTATGCCTCCACCTTAAGCTAATCAACTGATGTGAGAAGGTTTTGCTTGAATGCCTGGAGGCTGTAAGACTTTGGATTGGGATGAAAGGCCTTTGGCTCAACCGTAGCAGGTCTGAGTAGTTTGATGCTTTACTACCTCCTGTATTCAGTGATTTTCTACCTATAATGAGATAGCATCACCCCAGACAGAATTGGTGTGCAACTGGAAGGTTCTCCTGGATCTATGACCCTGTTTGGGAAGCAAGTAGAGCCATAGCCATGAGGGCTTTTGCAATGAATTGTGTGGCAGTTGTGCCTTTTCCCGGACCAGGAAGTGCTGTGACAATGCTATACATCAGGGGTGTCAAACTGGATTTCTTCGAGGCCAGATCACATTGTAGTTCTCTTCCGGGAGGAGAGACACAGGACAAATCCTCCTGCAGCACTTTGCTAGCCAAAATTGCGCACGACGGCCACACTCAGCCTCCCCGTGCCCCGTTTTGTTTGGCAAAGTGCAGCAGAAGGCCATCCAGGCTGTAAACAGGCCATGCGGGGGCCACATGTGGGGGGGCCGCACCCCATTTTGGATGCCAGAGGCACTGCGGGCCAGTCCTTTGCTATTTTCAGGCCAGCCATATTGGCCAGATTTAAGCACCTCTCCGGCTGGATCTGGCCCATAGGCCTTGAGTTTGACACCCCTGCTATACATGATCACTCATGCTTGGGTCACTCCCAAACGGATTAATGTAACGTGCTAAAAATGGAACCACCCTTGAAGCACATTCAGAAGCTGCAATTGGTCTAGCACAGGGGTTTCAAACTCAAGGCCCAGGGACCAGTTCTGGCCCGCAGGGTGCTTAGATCCAGCCCATGGAGCCACTCTGGAAACAGTGAAGGAATGGCCTATAGTGCCTCTGCCAGTGAAAACAGAGCTCGCGAGGGCTGTGTGCAGCCCTCCTGAGCTCCATTTTCTCTGGCAGAACATTGAAGCAAGCCATTGCAACCGAAAACAGAGCTCGGGAGCCCATTTTCTCTGGCAGAGTACTTGGGCCACCACAGGTGCCCCCAACACAAGTGACATTGAGCTGGCCACACCCACCCTGTCCCCCTGAGGTCAAAAACAACCCTGATGTGGCCCTCAATGAAATCAAGTTTGATGTCCCTGGGCAAACATGTGGCAGCACAAGCAATTATGAGCTTAACTGAAAAAGGCCATGTTACAACTCTGCTTTGCAAAGAGCACCGGCTTCTAATATGCTTCCAAATGGAATTCAGAATGCTGGTTATTGCCTATAAATAGTCCTTCATGATTAGAAACTGGAGGGATCTCCTTTCTCCAATTGTTTCTACCCATCCCATCAAGTCTGCAGGAGGGCCATGCTCCAGGTGCTGACATACATTGGAACACAAGAAACATGCCTCTTCTGTCACAGTCCAGGCCTTTGGTGCAACATACCACCAAAAGTTAGGCTGGCCCAACCCTAATGGTCTTTCAGAAAGCCTTTAAGATTGGACTATGTTCCATATACAGAGGTCAGGAAAGCAGCTGAGCTCGTATTTGTTGGATGCAGTTTCTTTGGTGACATTTTTATATTGTTAGTTTTGTTTATTGTATTGTTTTTAATTTTTATTAGTCACCCAGAATCACATTTAATGAGGATGGATGGATGAAGATAGATAGATAGATAGATAGATAGATAGATAGATAGATAGATAGATAGATAGATAGATAGATAGATAGATGGATGGATATGATAGATATATGATACCAGTAGATACATACATACGTATAGGCATACATACCTACCTACATACCAACCTACATACATATATGCGTAAAAACAGTTCAGCAATGCTTAGACATTCATTAATTTGCTCCAGGCCAGTTCAGCTAGTCAAATTTGTCACCAAGGTTCTTGTTTGGGATTGCATTTGTAGATACCTGTTTTTGCCTAGATATATAGATATAGATATATATTCAACTGCACTGGCTGTCTGTTAAATGTGCTTAGGTTTGTGCCCAAGCTCACTCTTCTTGATCCATCCATGGCCTCTTGGAAGCAATTTCAATTATCTCAACAGTGAGAAACGTGTCATTGTTTTCCTGAACAATTCTGGGTGACTAATAAAATGTTATGGACACGCACTGAGGTCTCATCTATATCCACCGAGTCATGTATTAAATTCTCCATATGAATGTCTCCAGGGGACTGTTAGGTTCAGCTATACCGTACAGGCAAATGATACTTGTCCTTTAACATAGGGAATGACAGAAACTCATTATTCCCATTCTTAATGAACCGCTGAAATAAAAATACAGCATCCAACTTAATTTTCTATACAACCATTTTCTAAAATTAAATTGATCCTGCAACTTCAATTTAGCATTAGAAAAAGGATCAAAATACACTGTTCAAGAAATACCCTACTGCATTCATATTTGACTAGGTGCAGTAGTGAAAGTAGTTAGATCTACTCTATTATATTTCAAACTCCCAACAGACCAATTAAGCAAAGATATGATGTTTGAACATTCCAAAAGAGACTCAGAAAGAGAAATTATACTGTGTGAAGCCATCCTAAAGTTGGTGCGATTCAGAAGGTTCGCTTCTTGGTATCGTTTAAGAGTTGGAAAAACCAACCCCATCCCCCCTCACCTGATAGCTGATTTTTTTTTGTGGGGGGATGATAACCTTTTGCTATGGATGCAAAAGATAGAGTGCAACTCTAAGAAGGAAAACCACATATATATATATTTGAAACCATGATTTGGTGGGGGGGGGGGGCGTTCCAGTTTGCAAAGGAATAGAAACAGAGAAAAATAGCAAGGAAGATCTTTTATAAGGGTTTTGAATTTGGGGACAGGGAATTGTAAGACTCCCCTTTTCCCTGCTTGAGCAGCCATTTTTTTTAGCCAATCTGAAGAATCAGGGGATTCCAAGGAAGAGATTTGTGCAGAGTGAGCCAACGTGGGTAATGAGAAAATATAGGAACAGAGGAATATCAACTCAGGCCCTATGGAGAAAGCATCTATTTTTGAAAGGGATCGAGGGATCGAGGGAGGGAGGGAGGGAGGGAGGGGGCAATGAAGGAAGGAGGGAAGTGGGGAAGGGAAGGGAAAGGAGGAATCAGGCTAACAGCTAATTAAACAGAGTCTGAGACCCCATTATAGAAGAGAGAGGCAACCTGCGCGTGTCATGAACATTAGGTTCAAGTTGTCTGTATTTATTTTCCTGAAAGGAAAGAGCAGAAGGAGGTTAGGGGCGGGTGGGGAGACAGACCCGTTCTTGAATAAGAAGAAATATGCCCAAGGATAGGTGGTTTTCCTTTTAAGTAGCATCTAACTGCTTTATTCGGCTGTTTGGCAATTTGGAAATTTTCAGTAATTTAAGCAAGGACTTGTTCCATCTCCGCTAGAATATTCATTCTTGCTCTTTCTAATTTCCAGATTCCTAGTCCCAGAAATTATCCCCTCACAGAAGAAGGGAACCTGCTGCTTCTTCCCACCAGGGGATTTGAAGTTCATCTGGATGGCAGCTGGAGAGGATGTGCACGTTCCCGGTTCTTATGAATTGTTATGACAGGGACAAAAAATACTAATGTACAGGAACCATAGAAATTCACTAAAGAAAATAAGATATATATATATATATTTTTGTCCACGTTGTCAAAATAAACTTGGTTTGATTAGGAAAAAAAAATGTCCGACAGTCTTCTCTCATTTGGGGTGATGGGAAAGGTTATGGGAACGGGAATGAAAAAGGAAGTCTGGGAGCCTTGTGAGAAAATTGCAGGCCGTGTAAGAGGAGTGAGTTCTGGAGAGGGTGCTGGAGCTGCAACATAAGCCAGTAGGGAAGAGGGTAGGGAAGAGACTAACCTGTGCACTGGTCTCAGCACGATTGCAGTTATGGGCTGGGAGGATCTCCCTTGAGTTAGAACAAGGGAGGGAGGCGCCTCTGTTTATAAACAATTCTTTGGCATATAAAATTAGCATAGCATGTTATAGCTCAGGTCTCTGTGTCTGCAAGGTTGCATTTTGAAAATACTCCACATAGTTTGAACAACCAATCCGATTCCCTGTCAATGTCTATTTATAAATTTCTACCTTCTGTCCCTCTTAGCACAACTTTCGTGTTGCACTTAAAGCCCAAATTCAAATGTCGAAGCGGTAGCCTTATACGGCACATCCAATATGTAAGTTCAGATTTCTGTTAGGTGTGTTCCTCACTTTTTTGGGCGGGGGGGGGGCAGTACTTAGGAGAGTTGGTTCTTAGGTTGCAAATCCTTCCCCAGTCCATAGTTCAGCTCAGAATAGGACAGAAACCCCAAGCTTCATGCCTCCAGAATCCTACTGAAGTGATACTGTAGTTAATTCCAAGTATGATTTCCTACAGGCAGTCAAAAGCGCAGTTCATTTCTTTTTGCAATTTTTTAAAAAATCTTGTAAGAACAGAATGAATTTCTTAGGCTCTCAAGTACATCCAAGATACAACATTCTATCCTAGTCATTGCACAAACACTATCTATGGCTATAAGTCTCTGCCTAAAATTAACATACTCTGAAAATCTATTTGCCCACTGTTAGCATTTCTGTATTTCTGATTGCTTTTCAACTCTCCCATGTGATACTTATCCTAAATAGGGGGCACAAAATTTATTATATTGCAGGCTGAGTTCCTGACATGAAATTCCATGCCATTTGGAAACCACAGGCAAAATCTGGACTGACTTTAGAAATTATTTACAAAATCCACATTTAGCTCTAATAACAACATACACTGTCTAGTGATTTTATCAAAAGCCTTTTCTGCATCAAACAATAGAATTGTGGCTTGGTCTTTTTTGTCAGTTAAATCAGTTAAATCTTCTAGCAACAAAATATTATCCATATCTAGTTTTGATCAACCCAACTCAATCATTTTTGATCACAGAAAATAACACTTGCTGAGCCCTATTGGGTAAGATAGCAGTTAATATATTAATATCTACCTTGGTCAAGAAAATACTGTATAGTTTCTAAAATAATATAGTTTAGAACATAAAATACGACCTTTACCAGGGTTTGGTATACACATCAATTATTGAAGAAGATATATCAATTTCAAAGTCTTACTATGTAAACTTAATTCATGAAATTTAGGAATAAATAAGCAAATACTTCATATTATTCCATTGGGGTGTGTGGGGGGGAATAAGCCCTGGTGTTTTATCATTATTCATATTCAGAATCACTAATTTATCCATACTCAAAATGGTGGCAAATAATAAGGAATCGGATTGTGGAAGGTCAATTTTAACTTTAAAATAATCTCGATGTTGATTAGATCAATTCTGATGTTTATTGTGTATGTTAGGATACTTTTTTTAAAATTGAAAATGTATATCTTCAAGAAAATCTGTCTTATCTATCTTATGCCAATTTTTAAAGTTATGACAATTTATTCATCTCTTTTATGCTTCAAGCTACTTGCTGACATCCAGCCAGGTTTTTCATTATTTCCCCATATTATTTACAATATTATTTCCAATATCATATTTCATAACTATCTATATGCAGATTAAGTGAAAATAATATGTCCATACTAATTAAGGAAAGAGACAAAAGTGAAAAAGTAGACAAAAAGGAGAATAAATAGAAAATAAGGAAAAAGAGCATATCACTTTTAGTTTACATGGTTTTTTATCTCTATCCCTGGAATTGGAACAAACTCATGTAAAAGCCATATTCAACATGAACCTCTATTTTAAAAGGGTAGGGGTATTGCTGAGCCACTGGTCATGCAATCCATTAGTGGAGAAACAACTTCTCATACTCTCCAGAATCCTCTCCCCTTTTTCATCTGATCCTTCTGGTTGCAAAAGAATAAAGTGGTTACACACCATGAACCCATAAATGTCTTTGTCACAGGCTGATTACCCATCTAATGAGGACGTGTAGCAAGTGAGCAAACCCTTGTTTCTCCCATCCTGGGTCAAAGATCAACATCAAATAGGACAGATACTATACAGGGGGAGCACAAGGCACTTGCAAATTCATCATCAATCTGTTCAAGATTCTTAAATGTGCCATGCTTGATTCTTTGACATGTCTCATTTTTTTGAGATGAAATGTATGTAGGAACTGTACATAAATGCCTCATTAAGTCATGTATGATATAATAGGTTTACATCCTCCCTCTGAGATACAACGCAGGCAAGAAGATAACATTTTCTTTTAAATGGTGACATCTAGTGGCCATCTCTATGTATGGCTTGATCACTATTATTGTAAAAAAACGTTTGCGGTCTTGAAATTCAAGTATGTTAGGCAGCTCATTTCCTCCCCAGAAAACTTTATTATTCTTTTTCTCTGCAATGTATGCCAGTTGTCTGGGATTCACCCTTGTCAGCCTAAAAAAGTATTTCTTGAGCAGAAATACAAGACCTCTCTTCCCTACCTTTTGCAGCTACTGTATTTGCTGGAATATAGTCCAGATTCCCACTGCACTGCACTGGACTGCATTCCGGATGAACAAAGATTGGATAGAGAAGCAGAGAATTAAACTAGCTCCTCTCTAGGAGTTTAATGGCACAAGTAGTCTGCTGTAGTTTAGCAAGTGTTCTGTCTATAGGTGTGCAGGGGTATCCGTCCCTGTCAACTTTAAGACTTGTGGACTTCAACTCCTAAAATTCCCCACCCTGCATGTTCCTAGCTTAGAGGAACCTCTGTGTGTCTTTCTTGGTTTTAAAAGGCTGACAAGTCTTGAATCAAGGAATACCTTGCAGTGTGGTATTACACTCCAGTGTGAATAGCACTTGTGATTCTATACATTGTCCTCACAACCAGCTTGTGGTCTTCCTGAAGACAGAACTGGCCAATCAGCAACAGAAGCAGACTGCTTCACTACATTGATCTAAATCACACTTCACTAAAACGGTTCTTTCTCTATTTTTAAGGAGTGAGAAAAATCATGCCACGTTTACATTGTATACTGAGCACATGTGGAATACATTTTTAAACGTCTAAAATCTCCCATCAGATGTTTGGCAGGGAAGACAATTTAGAGATCTTGTAAACCCACTTCATGTGTGTGTAAATGTTTTTAATTTACTTGAAATATCTAAAGGTAATTATTTACATTTTAGGAATGTAAATTTATGTACAGTAAAATTTCTTTACATTTTACTATATCCTGAAATCATGTATTTCGGGATACAGTGATTAACTGAATTCTGTTTTTAGCTATCTCTTGACAAAAAATCAAATATGTTAGGAGTAGAAAAAAATTTTAATTTTGTTTTCTATCTAAACTTTCAAATTCACAGAAATTATTCTGAAGAATCGGTTCCAATGTTTTTATGTTATTCTTCTTCTAAAGAGGAAATTGGCAAAATTTCAATAGTGTTTCAAGGGAATAAATTTGTTGCAGGCTCTGCTCCTGCTGGAAGAAGGATAACTTTAAGTGTCAGTATTGAACATCAGATGCAATAGACTCCCAAATAAAATCAAATTCGTCCAGCAGGTGAAGAAAATTCTGCTCAAAGGCCCCCTGAATTGAATCAGGATTGCTAATCAGGAGAATCTGTGTATGATTTAACAATATTTAACACCTTGGGCAAGATTTTTCAGCAGTCAGTCTAAGGCAGCGTTTCTCAATCTTGGCAACTTGAAAATATGTGAAGTTTAACTCCCAGAGTTCTGGAAATTGAAGTCCACATGTCTTAAAGTTACTAAGGGTGAGAAATACTAGTCTAAGCTGAAACCTCCACTTTGTATGCAGATTTCCAAGTGCCATTGGAAAACCACACACAGCTGCCAGTCAGTGGAGACAACAAAGGTCTGACTCAGTGGTTTTGTCAAACGTGGTTCATTTGCTGCCTGTGTTTTGCCAACCCATCTATTGTAGCTACAAACTGACTCACGTCCTAGAATCAGTCAGTAAACAAAACCCAAAAAGTATTAATATGTATTCCTTTCCAGATTGCTATGTACGAAAAAAAAATTGTCTTAGGAGAGTGTTTTATGTCTTCAGGATAGAACTTCCAGCTTCACAAGGCAGCCCCAAATTAAACTGAGAAAGAGAGCTAAGAGCTCAAGAAGTACCATTAGGATCTCCACTCAACCTGCCAAGCGCCTGACTATGTTCATTCAGTGCGGCAGACCTGACTGAAAACAACTCTTGGGATTTGTGGGTGGGTGGATGTGAGAAATATAATTGAACTCACTTGCCATGCTGTCATCTATGTGTTTTTTGAGGAACACTGTTTAACAAACAGAGGAGAGGAAAAAAGCAATTACTGAAAAATCTTATAATATCCCTAAACTTTATCAAGAATTTCCAATGAGTGCCTTGGTGGAACTGATATCCCTTGATTAGAAGGCCAACACTGTGACCAAAAAAGTGACCAAATGCTGGATTCAGATTGCCAAAATTTGTCTGGATAAAGTAGAGATCTCAGGATTACCCAGTGGTCCAGAAAGCTTTTTTTGTGTGTGTGTGTG